TTAAAGAATCAGCCATTATATTCACTCTCATACAGTGTGATTCAGCTGCTGAGACCAGACAATCATCAATATATAACAGAGATATAGATCCACCTGCAGACGGACCTAGAGGCAGTGATCAGTCACTCACTTCTCTTCCTGCAGCTGACCTTCAGCTACTTTAACCTGGAGCCACACTCCACCTGTGGCTGGGACTCTGCTCACCATCTTCAATGGAGCCTCCCTGGCTCTTCCTTATCATTGGTCAGTACTGTGGGACCACGTCCCAGGAACCATCCAATCAGGCTCCAACAAGCTGGCTGTGGTCTTCCTGCGCGACCCACAGCGTGTCCCAGAGGAGGATTTGTAGCGACGTGGTCTGCTGACTCCTCAGGTGAGTTCACACACTTCAACACATTCTGTCAGTCACATGTTTCCATCTGCTGTCCCATGAACCAGTCGCAGGTCTTCAGTCTGTGAGGATGAGGACTGGAGGATGGTCACTCAGTCTGAGGTACAAGATCAGCCATTATATTCACTCTCATACAGTGTGATTCAGCTGCTGAGACCAGACATCATCATATATACAGAGATATAGATCCACCTGCAGACGGACCTGAGCAGTGATCAGTCACTCACTTCTCTTCCTGCAGCTGACCTTCAGCTACTTTAACCTGGAGCCACACTCCACCTGTGGCTGGGACTCTGTCACCATCTTCAATGGAGCCTCCCCTGGCTCTCCTATCATTGGTCAGTACTGTGGGACCACGTCCCCAGGAACCATCCAATCAGGCTCCAACAAGCTGGCTGTGGTCTTCCTGGCCGACCACAGCGTGTCCAGAGGAGGATTTGTAGCGACGTGGTCTGCTGACTCCTCAGGTGAGTTCACACACTTCAACACATTCTGTCAGTCACATGTTTCCATCTGCTGTCCCCATGAACCAGTCGCAGGTCTTCAGTCTGTGAGGATGAGGACTGGAGGATGGTCACTCAGTCTGAGGTACCTGTGTCTCAGTCTGGGATCATGTGATCCAGTCACATGTCTGTTTTCCTTCCAGGCTGTGGGGGGGTGATCCATGCTGACTCAGGAACCATCAAGTCTCCCAACTACCCCCAGAACTTCCCAGCCAACGTGGAGTGTTCGTGGCAGGTCATCGCCCATGAGGGGAACCACCTGGAGCTGAGCTTCAGCAGCGACTTCCAGATCCCAGACAGCAGTGGAACCTGCCAAAGCAGCTTCATCAAGGTCACCTCAGCATCTGTTGATGTCAGATCATCTGTGAATGTCATCGTGTTGTTTTTATTCATTCAACCATCCACAGGTTGAGTTTGTGATATCATCATTATAATGCAAAACAGCTGTAATAAATATTTGATGAACATTGTGAATGTCTGAAACAGACTCACGTCGTAGGAGGAAGAAGTTGAGTGTTTGATGTTTGGATGTTTCTGTCCCACAGACTCACACAGTTGTCTCTAATTAGTAGTATTAATAATCATAGTAATAATGACTGTCAGCTGTGAACAGTGTGTGTCTTATTCTCCTGCAGGTGTGGTCAGGTCAGACCCAGAATGCTGAGGCTCTGCTGTCAACAGGCTGTGGCTCCGTGGCCCCGGGGCCCGTCATTGCTCCATATAACATCATCACGAGCCGGTTCCAGGCCACCGGAGCGACCGGCAGAGGATTCTCCGCCTCCTTCAGAACCAGTAAGAACCAGACCGCTTCTTGTTGAGGCGACGGTGCATCTGATGAGGTTCTGTTAGAACTGTGGTTTATTAAGTGATTTATATATCAGACTTAAACAGCTGCTCAGTCTCATGAGATTCACTAACTTGGACTGCGACAGGTGAGTATCAGGTATCAGGTGGTCAGTCCAACATGATGTAAAGTCTGATGTCGTCTGTTCCTCAGGCTGTGGAGCGAACTTCACAGCTCCCAGTGGGCGTGTGGTTTCTCCTAATTATCCTTCGGACTACCCCGACTCCTCCAACTGTAACTACACCATCGACGCTGGAGCGCAGACCGTGGTGGTCGTCACCTTCCAGGTGTTCCAGGTGGAAGGTACTTAGTCTTAGCTGACTGTTTCCCTCCTGGAGTTAAATGTTGTTTACTTGTTGTTGTTGTTGTTGAAGACCAGAAGTCAGCTGTTTGTTGTGCGTTGTGTAGCTCACTCCACCTGTCAGTATGATGGGCTGAAGATCTACAGCCTGACCTCCAGTGGCTCTCCCATGGCCACCGTGTGTGGCAGCAGCATCCCAGGACCCTTCTCCACCTTCGGCCCCATGTTACTCCACTTCTACTCAGACTCTGTGCTGACTTACAGCGGCTTCATGGCCGAGTACAGAGCCATCCGTAAGTACAGAGAGGTCAACATGGAGGAGTGAAGAACATCTGTCCAGTGATGTAATGAAGATAAAACATCTGTCAGAGTAATATTATTATTATAATGAAACTACACACAGCAACTGTTGAATCCTTCCTCCAGAAACTTTATCTGTATTTATGATGTTTTACTTTTTACCTGCCAATGATCCTCAGGTAAATCACTACAATTCAGGTAACAAAGTGAGGGGTGTATGTGTCTGTGATTACTTTACATGTAATGATTCTCTGTGTGTGTGTGTGTGTGTGTGTGTGTGTGTGTGTGTGTGTGTGTGCGTGCGTGTGTGTGTGTGTGTGTGTGTGCGCGTGTGCGTGTGTGCGCGTGTGCGTGTGTGTGTGCGTGTGCGCGCGTGCAGCTTGTGGTGGTTTCTTCAACAGCTCTATGGGCTCAGTGAGCAGTCCAGCTCTGTCCATGACCAACTACCATCACAACATCAACTGCACCTATCACATCATGGTGAAGACAGACAGAGTGCTGGCGCTCAAGTGAGACTCACTCATTACACAGGCAGAGACCGGGGGGGGGCACACTGGTGTCAATGAATCTGTGAGACGTGTGAAGAGAGAACAGGAGGGGTTAAATATTTTCAGATTATTATAACTTTATAACATATTGTTCCTGTTGTGTGAACATAACCAAATCTGATTGAATACAACTTTATTTGTCACTTGATGAAAACAAAGCAGATGTAAATAAATAATCATGAAAAGTATTTCTAGTTTTAAATTTGAAGTATTTTTATGTGTTTTTCTGAATGAGAAGAATAAAATGAGAAACATCTGTGACAGAGTTAAAGCCTCCTGTTGGTCCACATCAGTCTGACTGGACCAGGATCCATGTGGCTATAATATCTATAATATCTATAATATCTATAATGTCTATAATGTCTATAATGTGTGACTGTGAGGCTGAGTCACATCTGCTTCGTGTCTCTCTCTCCAGGTTCAACACCTTCCACCTGGAGGCGTCCTCCTCCTGTCGCTATGACTACGTGGCGGTTTATGATGGACAGGACACGTCTGCGCCTCTGCTGGGGAGGTTCTGCGGTGCAGCGCTCCCCCCCGACCTGCTGTCCTCCACCAACCAGCTGTTCATCGTGTTCAGGACAGACGCTTCAGTGAGCGGCGTCGGCTGGAGAGCGACCTACAGCGAGACGCTCGGTACGTCACAGTGTGTGTGTGTGTGTGTGTGTGTGTGTGTGAGTGTGTGAGTGTGTGAGGACGGACAGTGACCTACAGCGAGACGCTTGGTGCATCAGAGTCAGATTCTTCTACCTGGTCTGCTGTTATGTATAACAGTGGTTCTCAGCCATGACCCCCCGGGGGTCCCGAGCCCCAGGTTGGGAACCACTGGTCTATAACACATGAAGACTGAAGGTGTGGTGTCTGTCTGTGAACCACTGCAGGTCCAGCTCAGGGATGTGGTGGCTACCTGTCCATGCCCATGGGCATGTTGGGTTCTCCAGACCCAGACCTGGACGGTCGTTACGAGCCCAGGATGGACTGTTTGTGGACCATCGAGACGCCAGTCAACAAGGCCATCAACCTGACCTTTGACTCCTTCGAGCTGGAGAGCTCCTCGACCTGTCGCTATGACTACGTCAAGGTAAAGACTCAGTGAAATATCACTTCATTATATTATTATATATTATTATATTATTTATCATGTGTGTCTCCTCTCAGGTGTACGATGGGGACAACGTGAACTTCCCTCTGGTCGGGACGTTCTGTGGAAACTCCATTCCTGCTTATTTTGTGTCCAGTGGAAACTTCCTGACTCTTCACTTTGTCACTGATAACTCAGTTCAGAGACGAGGCTTCAATGCCACATACAGAGCTGTTCCAGGTCAGTGCTCCCTCTGCAGCACACACACACACACACACACACACAGACTGCAGTCAGAGTTAAACCAGTCCATCAGAGCTAACTTGTCTGTCACTGTTACCTCATGTTGTCTCTGTCACAAACAAACAGTTACAGGACAGTAGGTGGAGGTGTTTCCACCCACTGTCCTGTAACTGTCCGTTAAACCATTAATTAAATATTTCACTCTAAATATTTCACTATAAGAAACAGCTGATGGAAGAAGCAGGACAGTGACTCTCTGGTTGAACTTAGTGTCTAAAGTAAAACTGTGAACTTCATTAAAGATCGTGTTATCAGAAAGTTCACTGTGGTGAACTATGGTGTAGTTTCACAGTCACTTAGATCAGCAGTCAGTCACAGTTCAAGATAAATGCAGATTATGTTGTAAACTACAAATACCATCATCAGTCCCACTGTTTATGAACTGGGATCAGCTGATCTGAAGATGACCTGATCATACGCAGGATTATAAACGCTCCTAACTTCTCCGTCATCAGAAGCTACTACACATCTAATTTACTGTATTTAAAAGCCTCTCTGTGTCTGCCCCCCTCAGTGCTGTGTGGGGGGACCTTGAATGCCACGACCAACGCCCAGACTCTGACCTCACCCTCCTTCCCCAACGCCTACCCTCCTCAAACCACCTGCCGCTGGATGCTGGATGCTCCGCCCCAGGAAACCATCAAGGTGTCAGTCCAGACCTTCGTGCTACAGCCGAGCCAGAGCTGCTCCACAAACTACCTGGACATGAAGGACTGGCCTGAGGTGAGTCCAGACTGGGACCGGACCAGAAAGTTCTGGATCACAGACAGAGTTAGGGTTAGGTTCTGGATCAACAACACTGACCAACTGTTAGTAGAAGCACTAAGTGTTAAAACACTGGACTGTTCTCTTTTAGCAGATCCTTTAGAACAAGTTCATCCAGATGAAAGACAGGCTGTCTACAGAGACCAGATCAAAGACTCCTCCTGAACAGTCCTCAGTCCTCAGATGGGTTAATGGTGGTTCTGTTGTGGTTCTGTTTCCAGGGAGACTATGGACAGTCACACAAGTTCTGTCCATCAGACGCTCATCCACCAGACTTCTACAGCTACGGCAGAACTGTGCTCATGTACTTCAGGTCTGACTCCTTCATGGCAGGAAACGGCCTGAGCTTCACCTATCAGATCGCCAGTAGGTACCTGAGGTCACCCTGACCAGAACCAGAACTATCACTGTACATCTATTATTTATTTGATCAAACAACTACAGGCTTCAGATGTGTGTACCAGCTCCATGTGTGGTTTAAAAAGAGAACACACATTAATCTATAGAAACTGCCTCATTATATCTTCACCATCACCAGCAGCTGCTCTGACTCAGACATCACTCTGTAGGTGAATAAACCACTTGGTTCTGGTTCAGGGTTTTGATAAATCCTCAGAGTCCATGTTTCTCTGGATCTCTAGAGGAAATCTGAACAGTAGGAACCTGAGTCCTGATCACTGACTGTGGTTGTGGTTTCCAGGCTGCAGCCGGACTTATGAGCAGGAGTATGGGTACCTGAAGAGTCCAGGCTGGCCTGAAGTCTACCCCTACAACCTGGACTGTACCATGGTCCTGAAGGCTCCGCAGAACAACTCCATCTCCTTCTTCTTCAACAGCTTCGATGTGGAGAGACACACCCAGTGTCAGTTTGACTATCTGGAGGTAAAACTCACACACACAGATCAATCAGTGAAGTTCTGATGATCACATGACGTGAACACCTGAACATTTCAGCCAATCACTGCTCTAGAACAGTCTGGAGTCCTGCAGGGATTCGCTCCCTTTAATGTTGTTGGAGGAGACATATTCATGTGTCATGGTCTCTATGACCTCTGTGTGACCTCTCTGTGACCCTTGTGTGACCTCTCAGGTGCGTAACGGCAGCACAGCAGCCTCCCCTCTGTTAGTCCGGCTCTGTGGCAGCACCCTGCCCAACCCTATATTCCCACAATCCAACCTGCTCTACCTGCGCTTCAAGACAGACAGCTCCCTGGTCCGAGACGGCTTCGAGGCCACATGGACGTCCTCCCCTCACGGTCAGAACTGGACTCTTTATACAGATGATAGTAGACCAGGTTCAAGGAACTGGACTCTACATATTTGATAAACAAACTGTGTTTGTGTCCAAATGAGCAGCAGGTGAATCGTGTTTAGGCTCCTCAGCTGAAGCGTCTCTGTCTTCATGTTTTTATTATATTTGATCTCTGTCTAGTTTTTCCAGGGTTTCTACTGACTGTTTTAATATAAACTTCCTCTGCTGCTGAAACTCAGCTGGTTTGAAGCAGCAGAGCAGGTTCATGTCTGTTTCTTACTCTGCTGTTCTTTTAGCTGAAGCCTCTTGTTTCATATGTGTGTGAACCAGGCTGTGGTGGGACCCTGTTCGGAGACCACGGCTCATTCTCCAGTCCCAATTACCCCGGCACCTACCCCAACAACACCCGCTGCGAGTGGAGCATCGTGGCGCCCAGAGGTCGTGTGGTGACCGTCACCTTTGCTCAGATCAGTATTGACGACCCTGGAGACTGTCAGAACAACTTCCTGAGGTTGTACGATGGTCCAGACGCTTCCTCTCCACCTGTGGGGCCTTACTGTGGAGCGGTACGTCGGTGGGGGGGGGGGCAGACACCTTGTAATAATAGTTATAGACGATTCATGATGTTTGAGGTCTCAGAGATACGACGTTCAGTCTGTGATGTTATCACGTTAATATTTTCTTCTCTGTTTGTTTAGGAAACCAACATCGCTCCGTTCACAGCTTCCTCACATCATGTCTTCATCGTGTTCCAGGCTCAGTTCGCCGCCCTGCCCTCAGGCTTCAGACTCACCTGGAGCAGCTGAACACACACACACCGTTACTAATGAACTAATCATGGTGTTTTTAACCCACTGTAAATAATAAATATCTGAAGTGTTGTAATAAATTCATGATTTAAGAAAAACAACATGGAGTCGTTTATTTCATTTGACCCAGAGACTGAAACGACCCACTGACCTGCTGAGGAACACCTGAAGAACCTGAAGAACATAAATAACCTGAAGAACTAATCATGTGGGACCACGCACACACACACATATATTTATTTAAAGGGAATCGGTCCTTGATATCTGACATTATACACTCTATGAACTAAGGAGAAACACAGCAGACAGCATGTTAATACAGTCTGTTAAAATAAGAGTTGCTTATCATATCTGATCATCATTGTCCACATTCAAACATACATGTATGGTTACATATAAACTGAATTAATTATGTTCACAGGGTACAAATTACAGAAAATAAATTCATTAGATTTATTGAGGTAGAGTCTACAAGTTAAACATTAAAACAATATGTTTGTTTCAGTGGGTTGTTTTTGCTCCCTCATCATCATCATTCATGACGTCCCAATTCCCACCAGCAGAGCCACCAGAAAGCTGATGTTCCCCAGGAGGAACAGCACCACCAGCAGGAGATCAGCTGTGATCTGACACAACAATAATGTTTGCATCAGAAATCAGCTGCTGGTTATTATTTACATTTATTTTAGTTTTTTTTTCTTACCATGTTCGATTCCAAAGAATCTGTGACCCAAAGAAAAGACAAAGTTAAAGCTGCTGCAGGAAACAGTCACATGATTACACGAACAATTAAAGGTTTAATAATAATAATATTAACAATAATGAACAGTGTAGTCACCCGCTCTGTTAACCTTCCACTTTACATGAACTTCCATCAGGATGAAGAACAAAACCTCCCAGCTGATAAAACCACCCATCACCTTCATCAGCCATTGGTCCAGACTGCTGTCAATCAACTTCAGGCCTGTAAATATGGCTGCCACTGTGTGATGTCACATAGAAGAAGACTAGTAGAGGTGGTCAGTGATTCATAAACAGACATGAGATCAGATCTTACCAGCTAAAGCTTTGATGACCAGAGCGTTCAGAACATGAGACCAGTAGAACAGGAACCTCCTATAAACAGGAAACAGCTGATCAGCTGATATAAGATAAATAAATAAATGAGATGAACCACGCTGGTCTTTGTTTACTTAAAGCACACACACAGGGTACCTACAGTGGGTGCTGAGGTCCACAGCGCAGCAGAGCCAGGATGGGCTGGAAGAAGGAGAAGCTCATCACCAGGCAGCCAAACACTGGATGAGCTCCCTGTAGACACACAGACACAGTCACTGGTATAAGTACAGTCACACTTGTGTGTGTGCATACACACACACACAGGATTGACCTCAGAGTGTTTGATGAGTCCCTGCTGTACTCACTTCAGACCAGGTCTGGACATGTGAGAAGGGGAGGATGAAGGCGATGACTGTGGCTGCTGTAGTCACACTCATCACTGCGACATGGACCTGGAGGACCCAAACAGAACAACATGTACTGCACACATCAAACATGGACCGAGCTGGACCAAGCGGGTCTGGATGGACCGAGAACACCGATAAGCTTGTATTTATTTTTCTTTTCCGTTTTTTATTATCTTCACATGAATCTGAATTTTAATGGATGTTTTTTTCTGATCTAATGAGGAAACATGAAGTAGTGATTCTGTGTCTCACCAAAAACCAGACGTCTTTGCCCCACAGCGTCTGTCCTTGGGCCATGCCCCTCAGATACCTGGCTACCATCATCCCCAGAGACCCTGCGGTCATCCAGGCTGTCAGCATCAGAGCTCCTGAAACAGAGTCCACTGTGAGAGTCCTGAACACAGCAGCGTTCACATCATCTGGTCCTCTAGTCCCAGCATCAAACCTCAGAGATGACACCTCCCTCTGAGGTTCAGATCCACGGTATTTACCCCTCTGGACCAGGTATGTCAGTGTTAGCTTTAGTGTTAGCTGTTAGCCTCAGTGTTCAGTCTGAGGCTAACAGACTCACCATGGGCTCTGATGATCGGAGGCCGTCCAGCTTCTCTGATGGTCTGAGGTCTGGAGATGTGGACCTTGTCAGTGCTGATGAAGGTAGCTGTGTGGAACTGGATCTGACCTGCAGGAGGGACACACAGACTGAGATCAGTGTTCCAGGTCGAGGTCTCAGTAGAACTGTGGAGGGTTCAGCCTCCTCCACTTTACCTCTGCTGCTGGGCCCATGAGCAAACAGGAGGTAGTAGGAGTTTTTGAGGCCGTTGCTCCTCTGAGTGGAGATGGAGTTCATGGAGGTGAAGGAGCAGCTGATCACTCTGTCCTCTGCTGACACTGTGAGCTCGGAGACGTTCCCCTGGTGGACCAGGAGAGGAACCAGTTCAGTTCACAGTCCATTACATATGTTATATATGTTATATATAGGCTACATGTGTGTCAGTACCAGAGGAACAGCTTGTGGAGTGGTTCGACCTGTAGAGAAGACACGCTGTAACCTCACCAGACCATCACTGCCTACACCACAGATATAGATGTCATCGTTTCCCTGACGACAGACACAAACAATGAAGACCAGTGACTTACATGTTTTTATTTCCAGTCACAAGGACTTGGTTCATTCTTTAAAAACAACATCCCAACATTTGCTGCAGGGTTTGGAAAAGAAGGTTGAGTGTTAGCCTCATTGTTAGCCTCAGTGTGAGCCAGTGTTAGCCTCAGTGTCAGCCCCAGTGTTAGCCCCAGTGTTAGGCCCAGTGTTAGCCCCAGTGTTAGCCCCAGTGTTAGCCTCAGTATGAGCCCCAGTGTTAGCCTCAGTGTTAGCCAGAGTGTCAGCCTCAACATCTGTGACCTCTGATTCACCTGTCTCTACATACAGTAGATCTGCCGAGACGTTACCTGTATCTTCAGAGACCTCCAGGTACAGACAAATGACATAAGCAGGTCATCATTAATAATCATCATTACCATCATCTGATCATCTGAGAATCCGAACGAGACGTATCCATCAGACGGCCCTGTCAGCTCATAGCGGACGGCTGCATCACTGGGAGACAACATCATGGCTGACATGAAGTAACAGTCAGCGCTGACTGCAGGGTCACAGTCTGAAGGCTGACTGAAACACACCTTGGTCACACCACAGTCCACTCTGGAGATTTTCTCCTGTAGGAGAGAAAGCTTCATGATCATGTTAATATTCACAGTTCGATCCTGATGACAACAGGATTCACCTGGAGTCTACTATAGAGTTTGTAGATTGATAGATAGATACATTCATACATACTTTATTTATCCCCTAGGGGAAATTCATGTGTCCATTAGCTAATTGTTGATAATAATAATAATAATAAAAACAGTTAATAACAAATGTACAATATTAATTAGATTAGTCCACTTCCTTTGGCTGAGGTGTTGTATAGCCTGATGGCAGTGGGAACAAAAGAGCTCCTGAACCTCTGTTCTGCAGAGGTAGAGGTAATTAGTGAATTAAACTATGTTGGCATTTGACATGAAATATAAATTGAATGTAATAGAGGCCTTTTGAGAATCATTCAAATGATCTTGACAAACTGAAGTAAAAACCTGTTTCTGCTCTGTGAGGACTGGATCTGGATCTGTCACGTTAGTTTGGTTGTTTGGCAGCAAGCTTCGTACATTGCTCATAATCACCATCATTACTTACAGCTGGTTCTGCAGGTTGAAGCATTGTGGTATTAGGGAGGGGACTGGTTGTTGTTGGTGAAGGGGGGGGGGTCTCAGATCCTCCAGTACTGTTATTAATGAAGGTCACGGTTGGACTAGTAACGCTGACCCAGAAGGTCCTGAAGTTCTGTACAAAGGAAGCACTGCAGAGACAGAACAGGTGTCATGAGTCCAGGAGAACATGAGGGTGTGATGTAGTAATGACTCACAAAACAAAACAAAACAAAGAACAGAAAACTTTAGCTGAACCTCACTGGAAATGAACAGGATTCCTGTCTGTTGTAGATTGTGGACTCCAGGTCACTTGGATGGAGGTTTTCACAGACCCTGACCTGTGAGATACAGCTGAATTCTGGACACACACACACACACACACACACACACACACACACACACACACACACACACACAGTCCCAGCATTTTCCCAACCTCAGAGATGACAGTCCCTCCCCTCTGTAGGTTTCAGAATCCCCACGCGGTATTTTACCCTAAATCGACCACATCGTGACCGCAGTAGTTCAAAGTATCGTCAAGTGTTAGCACCATAATTCATTTTACGGTGTGTCACTACGCGCACTCTGGTGGCGGCATCGCCAATTAGCTTAGCTCCACTGTTCACGCACGACGGCTCAGTTCAGTCTATTAGAGGCTTAGAACAAGACCTCACCATGGGTCTCTGATGCATCGTGAGGGAGCCCCGTTATCCACCGCTTCTCTGTATGGATCTTGAGGTCTGGAGATGTCCTGGATCTCTTCTGTCAGTGCTGATGTAACCTTGGTTATGTTATCTGTGTGGGAACTGGATGCTGAGCCTGCAGTGGCGGAGGGACTACACAGGAACTGAGATCAAGTATTAGATGATATGTTTCACAGCGAGTCGAGGTCTCAGATTAGAACGTCGTCTGGTGTGAGGGGAGGGTTCAGCCTCCGTCCACTTTACCTCTGCCTGCTAGGTGGCTCCATGAGCAAACCAGAGTAGTAGGAGTTTTTGAGCCGTTGCTCCTCTGAGTGGAGGAATTCGGGATAGTTCACTGGAGGTAAGGAGAAGCAGTTCTGATCACTCTGCTCCTCTATGCTGACCACTGAGTAGTATCATTACACAAACGTTCACGCCTAGGGGTGCGACCTTAGAGTCACGACAGTTTGAGGAGCGTGAACCAGTTCAGTTCCACAGCTCCCCTTTCTATTATATATTATATTAATACTGGCTACTATCTAATTGATGCGAGCACTTACACATGACCCTGTGGTCCCTAATAATCTCTATGCGAGGGAGAGCGAGTCGCTTGCTCCTCCCACTCCCCCATCATCAGTACACAAATTACCCGTTCACCGATACTACAATCCACCATTCAATCGCAAACACCTGTGGACTGGTGGTTATCGATCTCTTTCTCTAATGAGACCAAGACACGCTGTAACCTCACCAGAAATCCAGAGTGCGAGCGACAGCCTGACACCAGCGAGAGAATACAAATACGTCCGATCAATTACTTGTCCACCTACTAAGGCTGCATCTTTTTTCTATTCGCGCGGGTGACGCACCAGACACAAACAATGACACACTAGCGCATAGAGACCAGTGACTTACAATGTATATTTCATGTCACCCCAACCCGGCTCGCCACACTAACGGAGTCACAAGGGACTTGGTTCATTCTTTTAAAAAACAACATCCCAACATTTGCTGCAGGGTTGAAAAGAAAGTGAGTGGTTAGCCTCATTGTTAGCCTCAGTGTGAGCCAGTGTTTAGCTCAGTGCTCAGCCCCAGTGTGTAGCCCCAGTGTGTCTAGCCCGAGGTGTCTGATAGCCCAAGTGTTAGCCCTCAGTGCTTTAGACCTCAGTATAGCCCCCATGTTAGCCTCTAGTGTTTAGCCAGAGTGGTCAGCCTCAACAATCTGCTGACCTCTGATCACCTGTCTCTACAGTTACAGTCAGAGTCTGCCGAGACGTTACCTGTATCTTCATGAGACCCTCCAGGTTTACATGACAAATAATAAGCAGGTCATCATTTAATAATCATCTATTACCGATGCATCTGATCATTCTGAAGAATCCCTGAACGAGACGATATCCAACAGCACTGGGGCCCTGTCAGCTCATAGCGGACGGCTCTGCCATTCCACTGGGAGACAAATCATGGGCTGACATTGAAGGTAACAGTCAGCGACTGAGTCTGCAGCGCTGTCACAGGTCTGAAGCTTGACTGAAACACACCCTTTTGGTCACACCACAGTTCCACTCTGGAGAATTTTCTCCTGTATAGAGACTATTAGCATTCTTGATGGATCATGCTAATATTCACAGTTCGATCCTTGTATTGACATATCTAGATGCACCTGGAGCTCTACCTATAGAGTTTTGTTAGATGATGAGGATAGATACATACCATACCAATTACTTTATTTATCCCTAGGGGAAATTATCCTATGTGTCCATTAGCTATTGTTGATAATACAATAATAATATTATAAAAATAACAGAGTTCAAATAAACAAAATGTTACAATATTAACTTCACATTGTCATCTTCTTTTGGACTGAGGTTGTTGCTATAGCCTTGCATGGGCTAGGGGAACAAAAGACTTCCTGAACCCTGATTCCTGCAGCGAGGGCCTAGAGGTACATATACGTAGAATATAAACACATCGATGTAGGCACTATACTCGCAAACCTAAACTGAACTGTCAAATTAGAAGGCGCTGTCCCTGAGATCATCTCTATTATATAGATCCTACACAAAACGTCGAAGTGATATATATATATCCAGCGATGTTCTGCTCCTATGACTGAAGGCGACGTGATCTCAGAATCATTCTACACGTTAGTTTTGGTACTTGTTTGGCCAAGCAAGCTGTGGCGGTAGGCCATCTTCGCTCATCATAATCATCACCGAGTGCGAGTCATACTTAACAGCTGGTCTAATCTGCAGGTTGAAAGCATTCGTCTGGTATTAAATGGTAGCCTCGGGCATCACCTTGCTCTCTCTGTGAAGAAGGGTGGTCTCTCAGACTACCTCCCGAAACTCTCATTACATGGAACGTAACACCTAGGTACATTTGGACTAGTTAACGCGTGTACCAGCACGTCCCTTGATATTCTGCCTTACAAAGCGAAGCCACTGCAGAGACAGAACAGGTTGTATGAGTCCAGTGAGAAAATGAGAGGTGTGATGTTAGTAATGACTCACAAAAACAAAACAAAAACAAAAGAACAGAGAAACTTTAGCTGCAACCTCAACTGGGAAATGAACAGGATTCTCTGTCTCGTTGTAGATGTGGGACTCCAGGTCACTTGGATGGGAGGTTTTCACAGACCCTGACCTTGTTGAGAATACAGCTGGAAAATCTGGAC